TTTAGAAAAACTGTTACGTGAAAAAAAAAACAGCAATTGGTATTGACAAAAAATGGTATTGACAAGTCATGAAAAAATGGTATCGGTGCATCCCTAGTTGGTAGTATACCATGAAAAAAGTGAGTGAAGTTTTTTCTCACTGCTTATAACTGAACATAAAAATTCAATTTATCTTATTGCTGAACCACTTGCTGACCGGGGTGTTAAACACCCTTCCTGTCCAGGCCATTTTTTAGCATTCAGCGCTGCAGACATTTATTCTGTCATGCAACGCTGTACTGAAATGAATTTTATACCATTTTTTGGAGACAGATAGAGCTTTCTTTTGGTGGTATTTACTCACCACTGGGGGTTTTATTTTTTACTATATAATGACAAAGGACCGAAAATTTTGAAAAAAAAGCAGAGGGGGACCTGCAGTTCTCCATCAGGTCACCCTCTGATGATTGACAGCTGCAGAGGGCGGGTGCAATAGCTAGTTTGCTATTGGCTATTGCAAAGTGAAATAGCCAATAGCAATCTAGCTATGCATTCCTGTATTTTCTTTTTTTTTCATAGAAAACAGATGGGCACAGCTAGCTGTCACTGCTAGCTCCGCACAATCTTTTTCTACTTTTTTTTCTACTTTTTAAACTATTTTTCTATTCTGCACAGTGCCACAGAGCAGAACAGCCGAGCGGAATGCCACTCCGCGGCATTCGGCTATTTACTCACTGCTGTTCGGCATCTATGAGAATAGACCGAACAGCAGCGAGTAGCCTGCCGAAGGTTCAGCTTAGCCGATCCAAATGTTGGATCGGCTGAGTCGAACTCCTTCTGCACTTCGGGTCAGCCGAACATGCTGAGCATGTTCGGCCGACCCGAAGCCACACGAAGCCACCCGATATACGGCTGGAATCAGCCGTACAATCCTGAAGTGAATAGCCGAACAGCGTTCGGCTCACTTCGCTTGGGGTCGGTTAGTCACTCGGCTGCCTATGGTAGCTTAGTGAATAGACCCCTATTTGTGTTCTAATTGTATGTGTAGTTCTAATCAGCACCAAGCATATAATCCAGGGACATGCAATACATGCTTCTGGCCAGCAGAGTGCAGTCTTTAGCAAACCTCAAGGAGGGGACATTATTTTCACCACAAAGGTGTTAGCAAATCTTATTCACAACTTCTTTAATTAAAATTTTCATGCAAATATGTCAGGGATAGAAAGTAGTGGGAGAAGGAAGAACAAGTTATTATTAAAGGAGAGATATAAAAGATAAGCAATGAATCCACACAGTCTGAAACAAATATAATTTAGGCACAAAATACAAAGTAAATATAAAGGTAATTATAAGAAGGGTTGTCAGGCAGCTAATTAAACTGGGGTCAGGGTTCAAGATCTACGGCATTTTCACACTGCATTTTTATAACGTAACTGTGAGGTTTGACTGCAGAGTTGGCAATCCTAGAATAGGGATGTTTTCTACATTGTAAACACAGCTATTTTATGTACACGCCTAATATACATGAGGATGAAAAAATGATTTAGTAAGATAATGCAAAGAGTAAAAATGGTGATTCACAAAATGCTATAATCACACATATTTTATTTTACTGTAGAAAGATTAGTTGAGATTACCTTGGTGACCAATCAAAGAGATCTGAGGGAAGGAGCAGGAATATTGTATTACAACTATACGCAGTCACTGCAGGGCTGTGGGCATTGTAAAATTGTGGCAATGCAGTGACCAGCCATAGCTCGGATTCTAAATTACTGCTGTTAAAGGGGGGCACTTTAAGCACTGGAGGCCCTGGGCAATTGCCTATTGTGCTCTCTCCTAACGCCAACCCAACTGTCTCCCATGTGCTCTTCTGCAATGACACCATTTCACATGCTCCTGCAGCCATGCTAGTGTTGCCACCTTTTCTTCCATCGAAACCTGTACACTTTAGCGACGCATGGAAATTTGTTTGGGGAGAATGAGTCGTGGCTTATTCATATGTAAATAGCGGCACCCATTCATATGTAAATATCACACTCAAGACTGTTTTCAGTGGGGGGGCCGGTAGCCCCTACCTTAATGTTGGTTGCCCCTGTCTGCCTGACATCTCGTGTCTGGGTTTTAGCTGCCATGAAACCCGGACACACCATTTAAAACCCGGACTGTTCGGGTGAATCCTGGACAGATGGCAACCCTAGGCCATGCCCACACATATGAAAGCATGGCCCATCGCTGTAACTATCAAAAATATAGTCCACAGCAATGATGTGCAACTGACAATGGAGTAAGTGCATGAAGACTAGGTAATTAAGGATTAACAAATTATTAACTTAGTGTTGGAGGTTAGGTTAAGAATAGGGCTAGGGTAGGTGGTTAAGGTTGAGCGGTTAGATGCTAGGGCAGCCTTTCTCAAGGGTGCCTTTTGACGTCCTCAGGGGTGCCTCCAAAGTTTTGCACAACATCATGCCTTTCCATGTAGCTTGCAGGCTGGCCACCAACACCATGGAAGTGGAAGTTCACCATGCTTCTGGAGCTCCTGATGTAGTCCTAGGACTCTGATGTGAAGGGGAGACTGAAGACTCTGAAGTGAAGGGGGGACTGAGGACTCTGATGTGAAGGGGGGACTGAGGACTCTGATGGGAAGGGGGGCTGGGGCCTCTGATGTGA